ATAAATTAGCTTGTCAATATGGTAAATTAGAAAATACTTTCACAATTGAACATTTTGTTGATTTAAAATCGGCATGTCCAGAAGAGTTAAAACAACTTGTCATACATGATTTAAAAGACATTACGATAATTGAAGCATGTAAACTTTATGTTTGTGAATCGACAAATGGTCGTACATGCGACTGCAAAGGAAAATGTGCTACGAAACAATGTCCATGTAAAAAAGCAAGAGTTTTTTGTTCGACAAAATGTCACTCTAAACGAGGAGCTTGTAAAAATATGGGTGAATAGGTTAATATCCCATGAACTGTACATACTGTGAATTTACTTTGATCACAAAGATATTGTGAATTAAAAAATTAATGTAGATACTCTGATTTTCCTTGGGTTCTGTTTAAATTGCGTATTTGTTATGATAAAAAATTTAAATATAATGAACAATAAATCTAGATAACTTTTCAAACAATGGAAGAACTCTAACGTCAAACTAGCTGTGGTTTACTTTATGGAGAACATGGAACTTTATGGAGAAATTCAGATTTTAACGGAGAACACCAACCTTTTACCTTTATCAGCTGTAATCTCTTTAACACAGGAAAATTCTAATTTTGTCCGGACTCTCATGTTTTCAAGTTGATCAGAATTGGAATTCTGATTTTGTTCGGACAAAACTAGAATTCTAGTTTTGTCCGGACGAAGTTAGAATTCCAATTCTGTCCGGACAAATTCGGAATTTGACCGAATTCTAATTCTGTCCGCAACATATTCGATGGTACGATGCAAGGTACCGGAATAAAAGTTTAAGTCAACTATATTGATCAGCACAATGACCCTAAATCTCACAACCTAAAATCAAAAAAAACAGTAGATTATAGAATTTGATAAGCATAGAAATCATACATAATTTTCATTTCTTTGTTTTAGATGTATTTCTTATTATTTATGTTTCTGATAGATATTTGCTAATTTGTATTATTTTTAAATGCCTTTTTTTATTAGTTTACTATTGAAAAAGGTTTTACCACGCAAACATGTGTGGCTATTAATAAATGTACAATTCACCTTTAAATTATTTTAATTAAGAACTTTCTGAATCGGATGCTTACAGGGAGAAGCAAACATAAATGGACACACCTCTTACGGTTTGCCACGTGTCCAAGATGAATAGATCGTTAGCGTGCATATTGTTTCGCAACTCTATGTGATAAAACTTCCCGAAGGAGAAAATTATTAAGTAAATACGAATAAGAAGAAAGAACGAGAGATGTGCAGATACGTTGTTCTGTTTCTTATTTACGAAGGAAAAACATCGCACGTAATGACTTGGGAAGCAAGAAGGTAAAATATGCAAGGTAAAACTGTGTACGAAAAACACTGAGACACACCCATGAGTGCAGTATTGTACTGACCGATTAAGTGAATCATTTTTTTTCGTACGCAGTGTTCTTATTTTGCTTTTTTTGGGGTGTATTATATAATGTAGAAAAGCGATATCTGTGGAAGAAACTGAGAGGATTTTTAAAAAGAAAATCTCTCTGTTTTCTAGCAAAAATCGGTGCGTATAAAGTAGGCTAGATCGGACTACGACAAAATCGATGAAATATCACGTCGAAAAGAAGAAACATACTATAGTCATATTTCTTCTCTATTTTAATTTTGAATTTTCGACTATTAAACGGTCATTATCAAGAATGTNTATTATATAATGTAGAAAAGCGATATCTGTGGAAGAAACTGAGAGGATTTTTAAAAAGAAAATCTCTCTGTTTTCTAGCAAAAATCGGTGCGTATAAAGTAGGCTAGATCGGACTACGACAAAATCGATGAAATATCACGTCGAAAAGAAGAAACATACTATAGTCATATTTCTTCTCTATTTTAATTTTGAATTTTCGACTATTAAACGGTCATTATCAAGAATGTCTAAATGTTCTTGATAATGCCCGTTAATGGTCGAAAATTAGATAACGAAAATAAAGCAGAATATAAAATAAAATGACTACAGCAGCGTCCATCTTCTTAATTAATTTTATACCGAAAATATTGCTCATTAATATGCCAAATATGAGCTTTTCAATTGTGGTTCAACGAACATTATGTCATATATTTAAACAGCGATAGCAGAACAGTAACAAAAACTGTACTTTTGCAACTTTTACATAACCAAAATAGGAAATTGGGTGAAACAACCTGAAGATCAGCCAACGCAGAATGTATGTTTTCTGCAGGAATGTGACGAAAATTCTCTTTGTTTTAGTATTACAAGAAATATCATATTTAGCCATCACTGGTAAAAGTAAAAAACATATATTATTTTAAAATTGAAGTAAAATTGTGCATCATATTCAGTCATCACCGGAATCCAAAACAATGATGACAACAGAATATTCTACTTTATTTGGAGACATTCGACCCGATCTTATTCGAAATGAAACGTTACCAAATCTATTTGATGCTACTGTTCAGAAATATTATTTTAATACAGCCATTATGGATGGTGAACGTAGTTGGACCTACGGTCAAATCGATGAACAATCTAATATCATATGTAATGGACTTTTAAAAGCTAATATCGGACGAGGTGATATAGTTGGATTATGGATGGCACGTGGTGTAGACGTTTTAATTGCACAAATAGGAATAACAAAATCAGGTGCTGCTTGGTTACCATTTGATGCAGCTGCACCTGCGGATCGAATTTCAGCCTGTTTATCTGATGCAGGAGCCAGGATCCTTCTAACCAACAAATATGGTTCAAAACAAATATCGAATATCGATCATCCTATATTTCTTTATGAAGATATAATCAGAGACAATCCGAGGGACTTTGAAATTTCTCATAATCATCCCTATATGCATGATCCTGCATATCTGATTTATACATCAGGATCCACAGGTACTCCTAAAGGTGTTGTTATTAGCCACAGCAATATTTGTCATTTTCTGCGTGCTGTCAATGAGATTTATGAGTTTTCTTCTGATGATACTGTTTTTCAAGGAAGTTCAATAGCATTTGATTTATCCATGGAAGAAATCTGGCTATCGTATATGGTTGGTGCCAAATTGTTTGTTGCTAATGGTGAAGTCATGATGGACATTGAGCATTTACCCAATGTAATGCAACAGATGGGCATAACTATACTTGATACAGTACCGACATTACTTTCACTACTAACAACGGATATTCCATCATTAAGAATGGTTATAACAGGAGGGGAACCTTTACCAGCTCACCTCATTAATCGTTACGCAAAACAGAAATGTAGATTGTTCAATAGTTATGGACCTACAGAAACAACAGTGGTAGGAACGGTTGCTGAAATACGTATTGGTGAGTTCATCTCAATTGGTAAACCGATTCCAAATTACACATGTTATGTAGTAAATGAACAAATGCAAATTGTTCCTATGGGCAAACAAGGTGAACTGCTTGTTGGTGGTCCCGGAGTAGCTGAAGGAGGATATTTAAATCGATTAGATCTTACAAATCAAAAATTTATTGTTAATCCGTTTCAGGATTCTCGTTGGCCTATACTTTATCGGACAGGCGATTTAGTGAGCATAAATTTTGATGGTAATCTTTTATTTCATGGTAGAATTGATGATCAATTAAAGATTCGTGGATTTCGTGTTGAAATTGGTGAAATTGAAGCAAAAATACAACAGATGCCACACATCATTCAAGCTGTTGTATTGCTGCGTCGTGATAATGATATTGATCGTCTTTGTGCTTTTCTTGTCGTTGAAACCGATGCTGATCTTAATTTATCGGAATTGCGAATGAACTTACTTATGATTCTTCCCGCCTATATGGTTCCTGCTTATTATCAAATTATTCCTAGTCTACCTCGTCTGTCTTCGGATAAAATCGATTACAACAGTCTAAGAACTATGTTGCTAACTACCGCTGTGTTAGAAAATACTCAAGATGAGGAATCATTCACACAAACTGAGAAAACGGTTTTAGCTGCAGCTAGGCGAGTATTCCCTGAACAACTTGTATCCTTAGACAGCGACTTCTTTACCGATTTGGGTGGACATTCATTGGTTGTGGCAACGTTTGTATCTGTTGTTCGTGAAACAGCAAGTCTAACTGATATTACTATTCGTGATGTATATATGTATCGAATACTCAAAACTATAGCTGCAGAACTGGATGTTCGACATGAAAAAACAAGCGTTTTGAAGAAGGACTTATCATTTAAATGTCCGTCATTGCAACGTCGGTTTTTATGCGGTTTCGGTCAAGCACTCGCCTTGCCATTTATCGTGTTTCTGATGATGTGTCAGTGGCTGGCTTTGTACGCTTCTTCCGTTGTTCTTATTCGAGATACGTTCTCGATATGGACAGAAATGGCTATACTTTTACCCCTTTATTTGGTTCTTACAATCAGTATTCAAATATTAGTGGTGGGACTCAAATGGGTTATTTTGGGACGAACAAAACCTGGTTGTTATCCACTGTGGGGATCGTATTATTATCGAATATGGTTGGTTCAGCGTTTGTTAAACGTGGCCAATAGTAATCATTTACAAAGTTCACCTTTAATGCGCATATACATGCGCGCGCTTGGTGCTCAGATTGGTCGAGACGTCGTCATTGCCAAATGTGAGGTGAGTGCATTTGATCTAATTACAATTGGTGATGGTGCGAGCATCGGTAATGGAACAAATTTTGCAAATGTTAAGGTTGTGGGAAATCAAGTGATTGTAGGCAGTATTTTTATTGGTACAAATGCTTCTCTAGGAAGTTCTTGTGTTTTAGAACCAAATACAGTTGTAGCAGCTGGTGCAGAACTTGCAGATTTAACTGCTTTGCAGTCTGGTACAGTGGTTCAGCCACGTGAATACTGGAACGGCTCACCATCCCGTAAAATTAGTATGGTAAACGAAGCAAGTTTTCCAGAGGCTCCTAAGCCAAATCGTTTTATACGTATGGCTCAGTTAGTAATTTATATCATTAGTTATTGTCTCTTGCTAATAATAGATCTATTACCAATCTTTCCTGCCTTTTCTTTATTTTATTATTTTGATAAAGTCATAAACGGTGAATCAAAATTAGGAGTTTCCTTGTTGACCCTCCTTACATTAGGTTTACCAACTTCGTTCATGTTAATTATTCTTTCAATAACTGTGGTCATTGTACTGCGATGGGTTATACTACCACGACTGCGTCCTGGGTTTTATTCTATTCATAGTTGGTTATATATTCGCAAATGGATGGTAGGGTTGGCTGTTGAACTAGCATTGGACACTGCATATTCAGTCCATTCAACAGTTTTGATGCGTAACTGGTATCGTTTAATGGGAGCCAAAATTGGAAAAGGTACGGAAATTTCAACAGAGTTTGGTACTCAGTATGATATGATCGAACTAGGTGAGCATAATTTTATTGCTGATGATTCGGTAATAGCTGATGAAACGATTTGCCGAGGATGGATGATTTTGCGTCCAGTCAAAACAGGCAATCGGGTTTTTATTGGGAATTCGAGTATCGTACCTGGTGGTACTATTATCGAAGATGATGGGCTTCTTGGAGTGCAATCTAAAACTCCAGAGTCATTACATGTATTAAAATCTGAAAGTTATATCGGAAGTCCTCCAGTAAGTCTGCCTCAACGGCAAACGTCCGCCGCTGACTATCATTCGACCTATAATCCATCACTTTATCGTAGAACAGGAAGAATTGCATTTGAATGTATACATATGTCTATTCCAACGGCCATCTTAATTTGTATGGGAACTAAAACAGGGGACATGATTGCTAAATATATTCAAACTGGAAACGTGATTGGCGCTATTCTAGTTTTTGTTCTTGCCTGTTTGGTAATTCCAGTCATACTTTTCTTAACAGTAGTAGCGTTGAAGTGGATACTAATGGGTACTTATAAACCATCTTCGCATCCTTTGTGGTCATGGTGGGCCTTACGTACAGAAGCCATTGTTGTTTTATATGGCGGGCTTGCCAATGCGGCCTTTCTTGAGCATCTACGAGGAACTCCATTTCTTCCTTGGGTACTACGTCTTCTTGGCGCAAATATTGGTCAGGGTGTCTATATGGACACTACAGAGATAACTGAATTCGACTGTGTTAGTATTGGTGATTATGCGGCACTAAATATGTCATGTGGTCTTCAGACACATCTCTATGAAGATCGTTTAATGAAAATAGGAGAGATACGTATTGGTACTGGCGCGACAATAGGATCGAAGACAATAGTTCTTTACCATACAAGAGTTGGCGACTTTGCACATTTAGGCCCATTAACTCTTATAATGAAAGGTGAGACTATTTTAGATAACAGTGAATGGACAGGTTCACCGGCAGTACCTTTTACATCGGTGATCTCAGTAGATACCGAGTGCTTTCGTGAAAACTTCCAAGGACACGTCCGTTCTCTGAAAGAGATGGAAGTTTGAAGTTTATTTTTATAGAGAGAATTAAGCCTGTGGAAATATAGCTGCTCCAGTGTTTTTGCTAGAAGGCTTGCTGCCTCTAGTAAAGGTCACGAAAGTTTTCACATTTTTTGCTCCAGAGGAGTGACGCTGACAAGCTTTTTCATAATATTACAAAGCAATGAGTTGTTTACCATTTTTCTTGTTAATATCAGCAAATATTTTGTATTTTTATGCTATAGCTGGATTATTAAATAATACTAGTACCTCAGATAGTTTAATTGATTTTGAACAATAATAAAGAACTCGATCAATGTCATCTTCTGAATAATAACTACATCCAAAACTATTGAGAATGTTTCCATATTCCGAAGTGTCCGTAGTTAAACTAGTCTCAAATAATTGCACAGACCTGGTACAATGTTTCATAACCAAATCGTGCACACCTTTTAGAGAATAATTCAATCCAATATTATTATGTAAGTTAAGTTAACAATTTCAACTTTGTCGTTCGGCATTATTTCTTTTCGTAACAGTAGGACTTTTAAAGTATGTTCCATAGTCAAACCATATTCTTTTTTCATTCCATAAATCGCTGCAATTATGGGGTGAAATAGATTGTAAACATTCTAAAGCTTGATCATACTCATGTTTCAATATAAAAATATATCCAGTATTATAGGTAGTTTCAATAATACTCGGGTCATTTGGCGCTAGACAGGTTTCGTCCATCTTTAACGTTTTTAAATGATATTCCAAAACTTGACCATAAGTGTTCTCTGATTATATAAGGTAATTCAACATTACGGACGAAGGAATCTCCCCGATGTAACGCTCCGTTACCAGTTATTTATGCGCCGATCGGTAGAGGATAGTAATCTTGTAAAAGCCCTAAAAGGATTTGGGCTCATAGCACTTTTTCAAAAGTTATGAACTCTTTTGTTGGCCTGTGCAAGGGATCCTACTGAAATCAGAAACTTCGTAGTTGAGTCAAAACAGCGAATTAAGCGTATCTCCCTCTATTTTTCAAAAAAATTTCGGATTTTGAGCTGAACTTAGCCTAATGTAGAGGAACGTGTTGACTACAAAATGAGACCACTCCCAGCACTCCACGGCCTTTCTTCAAAAAGTTATACATTTTTGCAATTTTTCCTTCAAAGCCTAAAAATACTCAGTGTTTTAGTTTCATAAACTTTTCTCTTCTTTTCTGTACATTCAAAATTTTTCTTACACATAGTCTGATAGAAGAAAGTGTTTTCTTTCATTTCGGAAAAATTGCGAATTACGGGCAGAATTTCAACTATTTCGCCTTTGATTCAGTAAAGTCGACTTTTCGTCATGAGGAAGCGAAAGTTTTTCAAACGCATGCATACTTTTGTTCGCCTTTTAATGGTGGTTCGAATGATGTATAATTGTTAGGGAAAGCTTTTAGTGCAAAAGACTACATAGGTTTGGTGCACAGAGGTCTCAAAACGGCCATGGACCGACTTAGGCCATCTGGCTCAGGCGCTAGAATAGATAAAATGCTCTCGAACTTACATGGCTAGACTCCTTTTGAGCTGCTGAATTCGAATATGTGTGTTTGAGAAAACGAGAGCCTACGTAACTGGGTCAGATTCGAAGTTTACTTCGAAAGTGTCAAAATCTCACTTTTCAGGTGGTATTCAGTATTTTGAAGATTTCTCCCCCAAACCTGATCAAAAGTGAATGGAAAGGTAATATTCGGCATCTACGTTTCACGGGCTATCCAACCATGTATATTTAAAGAAGATATAGTTTTGTGTGTACCTTTCGAATTTCCGGCACCTTACTTCGTTAAATGACGCAACATTTTTTATTCTACGATTTTTCCTCATGGAAATACTCGATAAAAGAACACGGTCGTATAAGGAAAACGCTAGAAAAAACGATGTTCTCAGTATAATCGAAACGCGCGACTTAGCGGAGGCCTAATCTTACTCGTTTTTACGCCAAAATGTTCGTTTTGAGGCCCTGCATCTATGGTGCATGCCAAAAAATGCGAAAACTTTCCTACCTACCCTTCCTACCGAAAACCTTCCTATTTTTTATAGGATAGAGATCGGATCTCCAGAAACCCCCTGAAAACCATTCCATAACCGTGAAAACTAGGTTTTTAGAATCAGCACAACCGAAAACCTATAAGAAATATTTTTGTAGAGGCACGGATTGCTTAGAACACATGTCTGCCTGCTCTAGCGGAAAATGCCCACTATATACTGGATACTAACTTTTGAAAAATCTGTGGACGAGCCATGGTGGATATGTAAGATCTGTTTATATAAATAGGTCAAGAAAAGCTAGCCCTAAAAGAAATATCCATTCAGTGTTTAACGATACCATATTAAGGATATCCCGCGCGTCATTTTGCGCTTTCCGTAGAAATGCTGTAACATAGCAGTCCATTTACAGATACATCTTTCCTACATTTTCTGTGCCTAGAATAATACATTTTTCTTCACCTCTGTAAAGCCTTTGGGCAAGACTTTGTTCGAAAAAGTGACAGAAAATGATGCAGTTATAAGCGAAACAATGAGAAGCTCACTTTTTGGTCTTGTTCGAAGAAGTGTACTTTGCACGGCTCTTATAATTCGGTTACATTGAAAATAGTTTCTGAGCCTAGTTTCTACTGCAGATTACGAATACGCAATAAGCGATATAGGTCATTTTTGTTGTTCACCTAACATTTCGATAAATTCTGGTATTTCTCGGAGCACTTCTTTAAATATTTTCGAAAACAGAGTTCAAAACGATGAAAAGCGCACCTTTTATTGTGCGAAAAATCTATAGCCATCTGAAGCTTCGAAGCCTTATAGCCTACTTAGTTCACACTTGGCATTAGGGGAACCTTCACGACGTATGCTCATGGCCCCTTCTGAAAAGTACTAAAGGATTCAGTTGAAAAATCGTCTTCATTAAGCGAACTTATGTAAAAATGTAGACAAGGTTTCCGAACAGCCCTTCCATTAATAACGTCGGCCATCGAACCCGACGACTATTGCTATTCACACTATAATTACAGTTACATACAGAATAAATATCTCTCACTTCTCTCGACACATCTAAGTTATCGCCAGGGCCACTCACAAAAGGAAGTCATGAAAATCTATACGAAAAATGATTACAAATTTTCTACAATTACAACTAACAGAGAAAACACGTGAACAGAGTCGACAAGAACAACGGCAGACAGAAGAAGAAAACAGAACACTCCCGTGGATTCAATCCGTGCTACAACTGAGCTGGTTTCGGTCGAGAGTTCTCTTGTGTTATGTAATTTAAGTTTTTTTATTTTATTTTTTTATGTAGAAGATAGAAGTGAAATGTATATTTTTTATGCAGAGAAGATTTGAATATAGCAGCAAGGCTTATAGTGAAAGTAATTTAAAGGGTTGAAATCAACGTAGAGTGTTCTGAATACATGAGAGGGTGAGGTTGAAATTCCAAAAAAAAATTCGAGTGAGTCTGTTAGTATAATGATCGATTTTTACGCATTTCCTAGCATTTCGTTCTGAAACTCGGAAAGAAGCCACTCTTCTCAGTTTTGCTTATAACCTCGCCGTTATAAGAGAAGATTTGTTAGTCCAGCGAGAATGTGAATACACAGGCAAAACAAAATCCACAGTTTTTATTGCCTGTAGAAAATAAAATCTCAAAATAAGTTATTCTCTGTTTCCGGTGGCTGTTTACTTTTCTGCGTTCCTATCTACAACCACTCTCTATAATCCGTATTGGGTCTTGTCCATTGCATATTGCTGGTAACTCATTTAAAACAGATTTATTAACATTAAAATGGTTGGTTGATAATATTTTATACGACTTTTGGTACTGGTTTAGCCGTTCTACAGCACGCAAAGAAGATTTTGTTTGCGTTGCTGAACCGATACGTGATTCAATAGCGCAAGTTATATTAAGATTTGTTAATACGAGATGGATTGAGATTGGTAATTGTATTAAACGGGTATTACAGCAGTGGGATATAATAGTGGAGTATTTCTTAGGGTTCATGCCACAACGGTGTAAATCAGATGTAGAAAACTGTGATCGTTATAGACGTGCTAAACTATATCTGACATCAACAATGTCTAAAATTCGATTACAGTTTATGTTGCATATATCAAGAACAATATTTAAAAAATTTTTAACATGGTTTCAACAAGAAGGTGCACTAGTTCATATGTTATATGATCGATGCAGTGATTTATTGAAGACAGTATGCTTATCATTTATTAAAAAAGATGTTATTGAAAACAAAACGGTTGACGAATTATTGAATCTTAGTTTTGATTTACACAACAACGACCAACAAAACTCAACAGTTGAAATCGGTGAAATGGTAGGTCTCTTGTCTATTATGTAGTCCTTTACCTATATTGATGTGGTTTTATACCCCTCAAAACCGACATTTACCCTATATTTTTGATGGTAAGCCGATCCTTCAATACAGATTGTCACTTTTGAATGTTTCAGGCAAGAAAATCGTTAAATAAGTTGACTCTTGAAGAGAAAAAACAGTTTTTTGTTGACGTGCGCTCATTTTATTGTAAAATTATTAAAGCATTGATTCGTACATTACCATTGAAAAATAAACTATTAAAAGATTTGAAATGTATCCAGCCATCAATGAGAAATGAAGATGAAAGCAGCTCCTGCTATGGTAGTGGTACACCTAATTGTCGAAGCTAGTCAAAGGTGAAAATCACATTTTAGTTTTATTACTTTTATTATTTTTTTATTGTTTATTATGTTATTTTAACACTGTAACATCAATATATTTTCTATATAAAATCATCACAATACATACAGAAATATACACATTTACACAGACAGTCCGGTCTCATAGCCCGAACGGGATATATATCCCGATGAGGATATATATCCCGTTCGGGCTATAAAAATATATCCTGATCGGGCTATGATATCCTGATCAGGATATATATCCCGTTCGGGCTATAATATATATCCTCTTCGGGATATAGCCCGATCAGGATATATTTTTATAGCCCGAACGGGATATGGTATACTGAAGGCACATCAAGACACGGGAACAAATTTACATTTTTTGCTAATAAAATAATCATTTTCACTCAAAATGATCAGCACCTTGCTATTGACCGAACGCTTATCGGTCCGCAAAAGAGAATACTCTAAATCATCATGCCACTCTGAGTGTAAACGATTACCACATTTGCTGCGATGATGGCACCCTTTTGGCATTTTATCGCAGATAAAGCAGATATCGTCGATTTATATAGTTCAAAATACACCGAAAAATATGTTAATTTAACTTCTTTCGATTGTTTTTGTCGCATTTATTATCTATAACACTGAACAGGACTGGAGCAGGCGGAGCCAGTAGATTACTACGAACTGGACTCCTTTATAAGCTACTCAACAAAGCATCGAACTATTTATGCATATATACCGAATGAGATAATATCCCGATCAGGCTATTTTGTATATTCCCATTGGAATTTAAAAAATCGTGAACGGTAGACCCTTAAACCAAGACTAGAGCACCTTTGATTCCGACTCAGTTTTTCATCCGCTTTCTTATGCTATATTCACTTTTGTGCAATAACGTCACGATTTTTGCGGTAATGATTTTTTCCAAAATGTTTTGCAAAAATATCCCGATCAGGATATAAATTTTCTGTGATATCCCGTTCGGGATATAGGGTATATCCCGAACGGGATATTTATCCCGATCGGGATATCGCTCGTGAAACCGGACTGACAGAAAGGCATTTATTTAAATTAAACAGCTAAATTAGTCAAATGTTTATTATCACTATCTCATGGGAATGCTGATGTAGAGCGCGGCTTTAGTGGAAACAGAAATATGATTAGTGATGATCAATCATTATTAAATCAAGCATCCATCAATGGTGTACGCACAACAAGCTCACGAGGGAACATTCTCAGGTGCCCCGTTCCGATTTCGCTCGTTCATACATCATTCGATAGGGGGTTTCGAGTAGATAAAAAGCCTATAAGGATATCGGCCGACGACTCCTTAAGACGCGGTTTTCTGAAAAACCAGTTTTTCAGAAACTCTAACAGATAACCAAAACCTTTGTTGATGAGACATGATTGTAGCCCGCGAAATTCTCATAAAATGAGACATCTCCCAGCTCTATATGACCTTTCTTTGCAAAGTTATAGAATTTACAAGAGAAGCCCTAAATTAATTTCTTCTGATTTCTGCAACTTTGAGTTGACAATGAACGTTTAGAGCTTTTCTTGCAAATTCTATAACTTTGCAAAGAAAGGTCATATAGAACTGGGAGATGTCTCATTTTTATGAGAATTTCGCGGGCTACAATCATGTCTCATTAACAAAGGTTTTGGTTATTCTGTTAGAGTTTCTGAAAAACTGGTTTTCCAGAAAACCGGGTCTTAAAGAGTCGTCAGCCGATATCCTTTTAGGCTTTTTATCTACTCGAGACCCCCTATCGAATGATGTATAAACGAGCGAAATCGAAGCGGGGCACCTGGGAATGTTCCCTCGTCAGCTGTGAGAATATATGGCGATGGACAATCTCATAAAATAATAATAACAGTAGTGACTAAAGCACATTATTTTAGTGTTAAAAGTTTGATTTTTCAACTTCTAGGCGCCTGTTTCAAAATTACTTTTATCGGCAGTCTCAAATTCATCTGTTAATTATCAAAAATATCTTGAGCAACAAAAGAAAATTTTACACGATGTTGCTCAAAGTAATAGAAACAACGAAAAACAAGATATCGTAGAAAAAGAGCCGATTTGTTAGATGTACAAAAGCTTCTTCAACAGCAATTTGATAATGCACAAAGATATTTACAGGAAGGAAATGAAAGATTAAAACACGCTATTCAACATCTTGATTTTAATGAAGTTAGCATTGCACAAATGTTTACTGAAAACAGCAATACAAAACTAATGTGAATACATGAAAAAATAATGGAAAATAATGATGAATTAAATAAATTGAGAAAAAAACTTAAAAGATGAATAACAAATTAGAAAAATGCAGTGAAATTAACCACAATGAAACTGGGTGACCATGCTTTGTGAGAAAAAAGATCATACACTTTTTATTTGCTCGTTTCTTTTAGACTTTTTGAATGAGTATCTTACATACGTCAGAAGGATAGTTCGTATCCTGTTGTAAATGCTTTTTATTAACTTTAACAGTTGCACTTGAAGATTAAAAGCTAAAAGTTGCTTTACCTACTTTTTTGATATAAATCCTACCATAACGGACTTCAAAATCCTACTCCTACTTTTTGATTTTTGCTATTACGAAGCCTGTAACTATACAAAAAGGCTTCACTCTTCCAGAGAAACACCACGAATTCATTTCAATAAAATTCCTAGAACACCTTCGGTCAACATACCTATTCTGCTCATAAAAAACACGGATCCACCTTAAGTTCACAGCATCCAATCTGCTTTCTTAAGAAAAGACATTTTATTTAAAGAAAATCGAAGCTCAAGTTGATGTCAAATATTATGTTCAGTTCATAGTATTCTAAAGTATAGCGTTTCCTAACTCACATGAAAATTGAAGGTGGTAGTGCCGGAGGAAGTGGATCGATTTATTATCCAAAAACTAACTGAATATGTTATTCCCACTACCGTATTAAATTGCTGCCACGTGTATTGCAGACCACCTTGGCATGCATTATGCCACGAATAGCTGCCGCTGTTGTGATAGCTGCCGCCAATTGAATACTGACCAGTAGTACAGTAACCGGTATATGGGTTTGGATAAGCGTTCCAACCAGTTAAATTTCCACACTCCCACCCTGGATTTGTCAATAGGTTCACACCGGTACTATCAGCAATCACAACATCATCCCAATTAGTGTCAGAATGCGTAGTAGCCCCGAGACATAGAATATGTTGTGTAAGTGTAGCTTGAAACGAGTAAGTGTATTGGTGCCAGGTATTATCCGTAGTAAGCGTTGCACTGTAAAATAATTGTACAGGTGTACCAGCACAGTTTGCCGAATTTGCTGTGGGAAAAAATGGCAAAATCATTGAAACAAAGTTTCACATGGACCTTCACATTAAAGCACTTACTAAGTGTAATAAGGTTTATGATACAATGAGTGAGCGTGTCTGGTGTAGTTGTTGTTGCGACTGTAGTACCTAATGAGAAACAAAGCACAATATTTCGTCACAGAAAAAAAAGAAGTTTGCCGTGTTACTTTTCGTGGTTGTTCTTGTTGTCGAAGCTAAACAGAAATATAGAGCAGCGTAAGAAAACTCAGAGAGCACGGATGCACGCGAGGATAAGTAAAATTTTCGCCAAAGCAATAATGCCTGTAACGAACAACATACATTTCTTAATCTTCTGACACGGCTCCGGTCGGGACGTGCACGAAACAAAATCCGAAGATGCCTTTGTCCTGCGGACGGATGTAATTTTGTGAGGAATGACGGCAGATCATAGACTTACGAGGTTCAAACGCCGTGAAACTCGATGAATAGAGCATTTTTTCGAAATTATCCGATGGAAGTCATTTTCTAAATTCCATAATTCGGATACCATAAGTCTAAAGTGACTGAAAACCTTTCCATACCCTCAGTTCTAATTCTAGACTCAGTTGTGTAATAAAAAGTAGCTGCTAAAAATTTCATGTTACGACATTTCTTGCTGAGCTGATAAAACATCTCTTAAGATTGTGAAAAACAAAAACTTTACGCGTCGTCGTCGCCATTGTGGTCGTCGCCGGTGTCGTCGTCGCCATTGTGGTCGTCGCTGGTGTCGTCGTCGCCAATGTCGTCGTCGCCGCCAGCGTCGTTGTCGCCGCCAGCGTCGTTGTCGCCGCCAGCGTCGTTGTCGCCGCCAGCGTCGTTGTCGCCGCCAGCGTCGTTGTCGCCGCCAGCGTCGTTGTCGCCGCCAGCGTCGTTGTCGCCGCCAGCGTCGTTGTCGTCGCCAGTATCGTTGTCGCCACTGCTGTTGTCGCATCTGTCGTTGTCGCCGCCAGTGTCGTTGTCGTAGGTAAAGTGCTTGCCGTATTTGCTGTTGTGTTAGCTGCTAGAAAATCATAGAATTGATCAGTTTCATTCGAGCCATTGTAGGAGAAACTTAGACAATGGCAAGCAGATCGTTATACTGATATCAACCGATTTGGCCGAAATTTTTACCACATCTTGTCCAGACATCGAGGTTAGACTGTGGTAAAGATATCAGCTCCGGAAAATCCTTCCATTCGGATTTTTTTTAGCGGTGCAGGTAGTGTCACTGGGAAGTTTCAGAAAATGGAGGTTTTCATTTAAATGCGATTTTCATAGAAAAGGCTAGCGGTAGAGGACTGAAAATTCCACCAAATATTATCATAAAATTAAATTTTGCGAATTTCGGAGAAACCCAAAACAGACTCTGTTTTCTTGTTATCCTGTTTCACGTACTAGACTATTGGATTTCGCAGCCTTTTTGCGATAGCTTGTATTTGTAGAGAATTAAAAGCTGAGTGTCGCTTGACTTCGGTTAGTCCTGAATATAACCTTGAAAAAGGTAGTAACGGGAGTAACAGATCTAGTACAACTCGGCCTCTTGGTGACGAATATCATGTTTAAAAATTTTTAAAACAACGGTATGATGGCCTTCTAGATCTGTGGAACTCCTATTTCCTATCAGAACAGCCCGTTTATGGTCCTTTTCAAAGATAGAGCGTTTGTTGAAGAACAACATCGGCGATTCAAATACGCAACAAGTCCACTTTCATTTTTCACCTAAAAATGACCCGGTTGCCCACTGGTGCTGTATCTATGAGAAAAGTGGGTATATAAAAAAAATCTGAGCGACTTTCGACGTGAAATGAAGGTAAGTGGCACAAGCATGGAAGTGAACACCGTGAGAAAACCATGAATCAGCGACCTCTTCGAGGTGATTCTTTCGAGAATGTATCACGTTTACATCGACCACATCCAAATTGTTCGAGAGTAAGAGGATTAGTACAACTCGTCCTCCTGGTGACGAATATCATGTTTAAAAAATTTTAAAACAACGGTATGATGGCCTTCTAGATCTGTGGAACTCCCATTTCCTATCAGAACAGCCCGTTTATGGTCCTTTTCACCATTTTCTAGTGAAACGTTTGAGTACGTGCTGCACCATTCTACGGGATTGCAGGGCGTAGGATGACATATATTTCGCATGTACTCGATGTGGGCTATTAGAAAAACAGGTTTTCGCAAAGACCAAGAACCTTCGAAACAGACGAAATTCTGTGGGATTTTAGCTGAAAAAGCATCAGTTTCGAAGGTTCTTGGTCTTTG